TTTTGTGCATGGACAGAGTTCACTCGGGTGTCCGCAAGCAGCAGGAGACCCCCATTCCAGTGTGCACTGCACTCTAACGAGAAGCGAAAGCAAGGACACATGTGTGCACACAGCACATGTACCGGTGCGGGCTTTGTTAGCGGGTGGGACAACGGGGCGCCTGAGTATGAACAGCACTGAGATGTAAACAGATCTGACCTTCAGTGCGTTCTCTCCTCGTCTGCGCCTGAGTGCACATCTTCCCGATCATCACACACACTCTCCTCAGTTTGTAAGGGCTAAAGAGAAGGCGGAGGTGTGGCTCTTCCACACCAGCCTGGAAGGTTAGCCTTTGTACACTTGGTCAGAAGAAAGCACCGTCAGGTTTTGTCAGAAAAGAGTGTGACTTTGAGGCACTTGCTCAGCTTTTCAATTGTTGTTTCTTTCTAGTGGTCTTTGTAAGAGCTAGAAGCATTGCTTCTTTGACGTTAAATTTGTAAGCCTCAGGCGACATGGGAAACCTTTTTTAAGATTTTTCTCAAAGTTTTGAAAAGCTATTAGCCAGGATCATGATGTAATAAGACATAAAGTTTTTCCTTTTAAAAAATTTAAGTGCTTGTGTAGAGTTAAGAAGCTGTTGTACATTTATGATTTAATAAAATAATTCTAAAGGAAAAAAAAAGAGTGTATACCTCGGAGGGTTCTACCCGAAACCACTTAAAGCTAGTGAATGACTCAGCCCACCCCAGGGTATGAGATAAATGAATACAAGATAAATGCCAGAGGATACACACAGCGGGTGGAACCTTAGCTTACAAACTGAGTCAAATGCAATGATCAGGTTCAGTGTTGACCTTACGCGGAAGTTTGATTGGGTTCACAACCAATTTGTTTTTTGACCAGAATCATGGAAAGAGTTAAGTTTGTGAACCGAGGTACCACTGTACCGCTGTGTGTTAGCAATGAACACAAACTGAAATTTCAAAAATTTTGGCAGTGAAATACTTCAGTGTACTCTTAACAAAACCCTACAGTGTTTGTGTGCTGGAAATGGTTAAACCCTGATGAGTGGAGAGACACGGAGTGAGTCACTGGTTAGAACCGTCAGTACAGCAGTGGTCAGTTAACTCTCAGATGCCTTGGGAGGCCAGTGCCTTTCCTGACAGAAACCACGCTGACCACATAAACAAAGCTTGTTCCAAAATGTATTTGTAAAAACACAGCCCTTCACATAGGTCAAATCATCTTGAAAAGAAAGAATAAAATCAGCAGATGAGCCTACAGGCCCGCCACCTCACCTAGTAATCTGGGAGCTGCGGTGTTGGTAGCCAGATCACAGGTAAACAGAAGGGGAGAGACTGCGGGCATAGAAGCACACGTAGGCCCGGCTGATTTCTGACAACGGCGCACAGCAGTTCAGCAAAGATGGGTGTCAGCCGAAGGTGCGAAGCAACTGGACATCCACAGACAAAATATGCACAGGACACAGCTAACAGAACACGCAAAGCAAAAGTGTTTCACGTCTTATAGAACAAAACTCAAAATAGACCATGCACGGGAAAGACAGTCTATGCAGTGTTTGGGCAAGGAAGAACGAAGTCTAGGACTCTGGTTCCAGGCTGGAAAGGTTTTAAATGTGACAGCAGACACAGGAGCCATGCAAGGGGTGAAGGATGCGTTGGATCGCGTGATGATACAAAGCTGTTGCTCTTCAGAAACTCCTGCTATAAGGGTCAAAAAGTCAGGCTACAGCACGAGAGCAAATGTTGGAAACCTCATAGCCAACATAGAAAGATGTCTGCAGGTTTAACGATAGAGGAAAGTGCTTTATTTGCGTTAGAAAATTGACAGAAGGCACGAAGATGTTCCACAGGAGAGGGACAGAGGTGTCAGACAAGCACAGGAAAGACGCGCATCACTGGCCGGCCGGGGGACACAGACTGAAGCCCCGCGAGGTCCGCGTCACCTCTCACACAGGGCATGGCCACGCAAGAGCTGTGACACTGGCAGCCTGGGTGGTGTGGAGAGGCCGCCGTGGCGTGTGGCCGGTGGGAGTGTAACGAGCACAGGGTTCTCCCGCAGCTCAGCGGTGCTTCTGGAACCAGAGGCACCGACCCCACCACGGCTGCTGCTGCTGCTGCCCCCTCATCCCTGGGAAGGGCGGCTGTGTTCAGAGAGCTGCCGGTGAGCACTCATGGCGGCTTTGTCCATGGCGACCCCAGACCAGCGCCAGCAGCCAGGCACACTGCAGCTTTTGGGAAAAGTGGACACAGAAAAAAGAACTACAACAAAATAAGAGGAACTCACTGCAGCGGGGAAACCTTTGAGATTTACGTCAGTATTGTTATGATTAACTTTTGTCTCTTTCCTTCTTTCCCTCTTTGCTTTCTGGGGCTCCCTACCTCCCTCCCTCCCTCCCTTTTCTCTCTGTCTGTAGTGCAAATCTTCACATTAAAACCTGCTGAATACGCGGATCATCAGTGACACTTTTCATGTCCATTGGGACTTCTAAGCAGTTTGTCACTTTAAGGACACAGAAATACATTTTTCCTAGAATTTGTCTCGAGGAAAAAGCTGACCATTCTTGAATAATTGATTACCATTTCGAGAGAAAGGAGGAATAGAAATGAGTAAGACAGTAGGGAAAAGGCAGCTGTGTGGTGGGCTTTGGGTGAGATTATATTCATGTTTCTCCTGTCAGTCACCAACTCAACCAGACATTTAAGGTCAGGAATCTTTGCTTACTTAAAACCCTAACTCCAAGGAGATGACCGCAGTGTCCAGGCTGTTAGGGCCCACACTGCCGACTCCTGCTAACGCGTCCAGTGGCCCTGCCCTTCCTCTTAGGGCTCCCCCACCAGCGCTGCCTGTGGCTGGTCCCCAAGACTGCGATGGAGAGCCCAGAGCCCTCCTGAGTCCCCTCCTCCTCCCCAGGCAGCTCCACACATCCCTGCCACCTCCTGGGCCGGCACCGCTGGGCACAGTGCCTGAGCTGCGGGGCGCCCTTTATCCCCAGCTGGACCGGGCCAGACCAGCGGAAGAGGCCGCAGCTGAGCCCCTCCGCCCTGCCGCAGTGAGCCTGCGCCTGTCCCCTCAGCCTTCTGAAGCTCGTTTTCCTGTGGCTTGGGTGACTGGGTCCTATTTCTTCACTCACCCACCCACCTCTGCCCAGAACCCTGGATTCTGTCTTCAGCCCAGACGCATTGGAGCCCCATTAGGCGAGCTCACTCACTCTGCTTTTATCCTTGCACCTTCATGGTTTCCCAACCACATTTTCTCTCCTCTTCTAAATCCCAGGTGCTTGCGCCTGTCCTTCCCTGGGTTCCCACTTGAACTCTAACAAGCAGTCCACATTCAGCATGGCTCTCCTCCTTGCAAGGCTCCCCCTTCCCCCCTCCC